CAAATCTTTTCTATACTAATGGAACCTTACTTTTTAGTATCTTAATTAAATTTTTTTTTAATTCATTGAAGAGGTTCTAGTTACTCAAAAAATTTCCCTCTCTTTTTTTGTTTGTCCAACACGTATTATACTATAAGTAATGCATATAAGGGGGTAAGGGGGTTCTGATACATCTGGAAAAAACGAAACTAAGACTAGGAATCTTTGACGAGCAGGATCAAGAATCATTATTATTATTATTTCGACACAAGAAAAGGCATTTTTCACACCCCTTTTTTCTTGTGTCGAAGACTAGGAAGACGAATAATCGCTCCTAGAATTATTTGTTCCCCGCATTTATCCGTTTATTTCCCGCTCACTTATTCTACTATCTAGTCTAATTGAATTATATTAGAATAAAAAACTATTGATGCTTTTTATGACATTTAAATCTGGCAATAATAACATAGTCACACCACCCCAATTTGGATAAAAAAACAACGAAAGAATGGGTAAAGTCAAATAGTCGTCTTCACAATCTACATACTATGACTAGGAATCCGGTACAAAAAATTCCCGGCATCTCGTAGAAAAAGAGTATAAACCAAGCAAAATGCTTTTCATAATTTCATTTTTTTTTTGATCATACATAATCGTCAAAAAGAATTTGGTTCTTTTTACGAGTTTGATGTCGATAAATCCGCGAATCTAGAAATTCATTTCGGACAATTGAACCTTCTCGAACTGTTTCTTTTTAAGAACCAAAAAGATTTGTGCCAAAATAACAGATGCCAAGAAGAACAAAAGGCCTTGGACACGTAATGGATCTTGGAGTACTATTTCTGCATCTCCCTGACCAAATCCCCCCACATTAGGATTACTTGTTAATGGTTGATCAAATTTGATAGATTCGCCTTCTGAAACAAGAAGTTCTGGTCCTGGAGGGATAATATCAACCACTTGACGTCCATCCGATGCATCCGTTATGGTTATTTCGTACCCTCCTTTTTCTTTTCGTATGATTCTGCTTACTATACCTGCTGCTGTAGCATTATAAACTGTATTGTTACTCTTGCTCCCGTCAGGATAAATCTGCCCCCTTCCCCTGTTTCCGCCTACGTATATAGGATATTTTAAGAAGTGAACATCTTTCTTAGTAGCGGGGTCCGGGGAAAGAATAGGAAAGATAATTTCACTATATTTCTGACCAGGAACAGGGCCTATCACAAGAATATTTTTTTTATTGGGGCGATAGCTCTGAAAAAATAGATTGCCTATCTTTTCTTTCATCTCGGGAGAAATACGATCGGGAGGAGCTAATTCAAACCCCTCCGGTAAAATAAGAACAGCCCCTACATTCAAAGCCCCCTTTTTACCATTAGCAAGAGTTTGTTTCAGTTGCATATCATAAGGAATTCGAACAACTGCTTCAAATACAGTATCAGGAAGTACCGCTTGTGGAACCTCAATATCGACGGGCTTATTAGCTAAATGACAATTTGCACATACAATACGCCCAGTCGCTTCTCGTGGATTTTCATAACCTTGCTGTGCAAAAATGGGATATGCACTTGAAATGGATGTCCGAGTTATTATATATATCATGAGCGATACGGAAATGGATCGAGTAATCTGTTCCTTTATCCAAGAAAAATTATTTCTAGCTTGCATGGTCCAATCATTGATCTCAAAAATTTCTACAATAAATTGGGTAGGTTGCTAGTATAGTTCCCTATCCACGATTCTGCTATGTACTGGAAAAATATATAGGATGAATCTCCAGGATGAGTAGAGTAAGTGCGATTTTCAATATTTTGCTTATGTACAACTACAAAGTAACAAACATTACAATTGGATTAATATTGGTGGATCATTTTTCAGTCATTCATTGAATGATAAATCACTACAAGCGACGGAGATACACGATTTAAATCACGGAAAATCCAATATTTTAAAATTGTATCTAGAATGACTGGAAAAGTAGAAACAAGACCAGATATAATTTGATCATTATGAACAAACCCAAAATCTTTGTAGACAGATCCAATCATTAGTTCCCAACCATGGGGCGAATGGAATCCGATACATAAATCGGTTAATAAAAGAATAGAAAAAGCTTTTAGTGTGTCGCTTAAGTTATATAGGAATTCCTGGGCCCAAGAGTTAAGAATAACAAGTTCTTCATTACCCCAAATAGAATAACCGCTTAAAATAACGAAACAGATTATATTTGTCGAGAAGTGCAAAATCGTATGGATACGATCTTCGTTGTGTATCTTGATTAATTGGATCGTTTCTTTATGGATTCCTATACGAAGTTTTTGTAGATGGGTCTCTGAGTATTCCTTGATCATTTCGTCCAAGAGGAGGAGTTCCTCTAATTCTATGAATTTTTCTAGAATACTCTTTTCTTGAATATCATTCAAAAAGGTTTCGGATTGCCCAGTATTCCACCAATTAGTGACCCAAGATTCCAGACTTTTATTAAATGAGAGAGAAATCCACCAGGGCAAACATACTATAGATGCAAGATATAAAAGAGGAGTGAATGCTTTCTTTTTTGCCATTTTTTCATCTGTGAATTGTTAATGAACCCACCTCATTCGTCGACTATATGCGATCTAATATTTCTCTCACGCATGAGTTCTATTACAAGGTATCGAACCTATGAATCTATTCAATGTTTTTTATTTGTGATTTGGTGGTTAGTCCTTGAATATAGAAAGAATACAGAAATAGACTAAGAATACACTTTAAATTGGAATGAAGAAATAAAAAAAATAGGGTTTCCAGATATCTCAATTGGTCAAATTCGAAGCAAGTGTCTTGTCTCCTTTCAATGAATGCTCGAAAGAACCATTTTTTTTTTTTAAGTAATGAATATTATTCAGATTTTGATACGAAAGAACTCCTTTTCTATCATTCTATCAAAATATCCAATATTTCGCAAAAATTTCACTTACTATGAGTAGTCAGGAATAGAATATTGAGGGAAATTTCTGAAGAATATTATGATGATCAAAAATGAGTGGCAAAACAAGACAGAAATTTGCTAGTTATCGTTAGAAGAGAGCCAATTGTTGAGCATAAAAGAAAGTCTAAAAAGAAAGGTCGATTGACAAAAAAGAAATAATTTACAAGATATGATCTATCTGAATCTAAAGTATCAATTCCAACAAACACATATTGGACTTCAAAAAAAAGAAAAATTTCTTTATTTCTAAATGGTTTGATATATGAAATGAATCTATTATTTTGATTTGTTACGTATTTTTTTATTTTATTGAATTGAGTTGTGTGGATTTCGATACGTATAAAAGATCACAAAAAGAGTTTCGTTTTATGGTTGTTCCGTATATGTCTCTTTGGTTCGAATGAGCGTTTTGAAGAAAGTTCAGTTAAGTTTAAGTTATGTTATAGAAAAAAGAGGATTCTTGAGTTTTTCCCTCCTGCTGAAAAAGCATTCATTCTTCAGTTCATTTTCATTTCTCAAAATACTTCAATTGGGACACGCAAGAAATATGCTAATTCAGCAGCTTTTTGCTCAATTTCTCGTGGAGTAAAATTCTCATCAGTACGAGTCAAGGGGATGGCCCCCTGGCCTCTGATGTCCATATAAAGGACACGACGAGCATAAATACCCTCTTTAACTTCTATTCTGACAGACTGAATATCTTTTATAAGGAATCGGAGGAAGATGCGACGATTTTTTCCAGGAAATCCCCAACGAAAAATACACACTATTCCTTCTTTTCTATCGAAGCGATCATAACCACTACCTACATTCCACGAAATTGTGCACCACAAATAGGAGCTAATAAAAAGACCGGCGATCCCATAGAAAGACATCACGATCCCTTGTGGAAAAAAAAGAATTTGCTGAGACGGAAATAAAGATATCAAATTTCTACCAAGATAACTAGAAGTTCCAACCAATAAGAATCCTAATGAACCTAAAAAAAGGATAATGGCCCACCAGAAATTACTTGCTTTTCGAGACCCCATTATAGGTTCTATCCATATATGTTCTGATCGCCAACTCATACTTGATCCAGTTGTATTTTATTGAAATTGAGAAAAGACCCCAAATGAATTTGACTTTACTCTTTTTGTTTCCGAAGTAACTCTCATCAACTAGCACTAGTTTGATGTGAACCTTTAGGAGTCATTCATCAAATTGGTTAGATCTAAAATCTAAAATAATAACAGACCTTTCATATGATCCTACTATAGATATCGACATACATCTAGATACGCTGACTTTACATTTCAGCCATCCGGCGATCCTGATCTATTTGAAAATAGCTAAAAGTCATTTACCCATATAGCATTTTCTGCAGGCATAAGAGCTTTTCTTTTATGTTCGGTTTTATGTTCGGTGGAAGCCACATGTTATATCATATTCCACGAAATAGATATCTGTGTTATGATACAAGTCTAAGTTTGAAAAAAAAAAAATGGATGAGATTGGATCCCATCGGATCTACACAATCTTGTTTTTTTGAACATGAAGAAATAAAGAAGCCATTGCAATTGCCGGAAATACTAGGCCTATTAAAGGCACAAAAATAGAGGGAAGGTTGAGAGTTATCATAGAATGGGTACCTCGATTTACTATTTTATTTTTACCTGTTTTTATTATTTAAAATGATAAAGATATCTTATAATAATTATAATTAAGAATTGGAATTCTTATTAATTCGTAGATATGGTAGAGAATTAATATCTATAGATAATGCTATAGATAATGAAAATCGAATTCAAAATGAAATTAGTATATATAAGTATATAGTGAGTATATATAATATATCTCTAACTTAGTATATATACTAAGCACAAGGAATGTCGAACTAAATAAATGGACCTATTCATGTTTTTTCTACATGAAAGATATGTATGATAATCGACTTTCATATTATTCTTCTTTTCTTCGTCTTTTGTTCTTGTCTTCTAATTTAATAAAGAAAAAGTTTCTTACAAATTATCGAAAGATTCGTTAGAATCCAATCCAACCGGGATTTCTAGTCAAAATGGGATTCTCGGAAGATATAGAAAGATGTAAAACTCTATTCTATATTTTCATTATATATACATATGTAAGACGGGAATAGGAAATTCGTTTTATTCGCCTAATTTCATGAAAAGAAAAATTCACTCTTTTATTTTGTTGATAGAGGGTTGTTGATTAGTAATCAACAATATAGGTAAAAAAAAAAAGAGTTATCCGAAACTTCTTTCTACAAGTAGATCTTATGTCACCAAATAAAACTCAATTCTTTTTATTTTTACTTGGATTCCTATAAACTAACTACTTGTTTGCTACAAATAAAATAATTGAACTTAATGTTCTACTTGATTGAATTTTGATTCAAAGGAAAGAAAGCGTGGAGCTGAAATAATTCACTTAGAACGCTTTTTAAAAGATTACGTGGTACGATTAGATCGAATAAGCCCTTCTGGAATAAATATTCAGCCGCTTGTGAACCTTCAGGTACTGTTTTATTTAATGTTTGTTCAATTACTCTTTTACCTGCAAATGCAATGTAGGCATTGGGTTCAGCAATAATGATATCCCCCAACATACCAAAACTCGCTGTCACCCCACCAGTAGTAGGAGATGTAAGGATTGATACATAGAATAACTTTTTATTTGATTGATAATCATATAAAGCAGAAGAGATTTTAGCCATTTGCATCAAGCTCAAACTTCCTTCTTGCATGCGTGCCCCCCCGGAAGCACACACTATAATAAGAGGTAGAAATTTCTTAGTAGCGTACTCAACCAAACGTGTGATTTTCTCCCCGACTACGGATCCCATACTACCCCCCATAAACTGAAAATCCATAACCCCAAGTGCTACGGGAATACCGTTTAGTTGACCTATGCCTGTTTGAACAGCCTCAGTTAATCCTGTCTTTCTTTGATAAGAATCAATACGATCCTTATAAGGCTCCTCCTCCGAATGAAATTCAATGGGATCCAGAGAGACCATGTCTTCATCCATAGGATCCCAAGTACCTGGATCAATCGAAAGTTCGATTCTATCTGAACTACTCATTTTCAAATGATATCCACATTGTTCACAAATATTCATTTTTGATTTAAAAAATTTTTTATAATTTAATCCATAACAATTTTCGCATTGAACCCACAAATGCCTGTATTTTTGAGTTACATCGAGATCATTAGAACTTTCTCTTATAGTTAAATCACTACCATTCGTGCTAGTACTGGAACCCTCGTTTTCACTACTATTTCTACTTTCACCACAAATAGAACTATAAATGTAACTGTCACTGTAATTGTCACTCCCACTTACAATGTAAGTATCAATACAGATTTGAGACTGAAGATAACTATCAATGCAACTATTAATGTGATTATTCCAACTATATTGAGTATCATACATGTAACGATCATAGTAGGGATCGTCACTCTTAGATCCATTATTCAGATAACTAGAATTCCGATAACTATACAAAGAACTTTCTAGTTCACTCAGAAAATCTAGTTCACTCAGAAAAGAATGATCATTGTTAATTTCAAAAATCTGATTTTCAATATCAAAATATATGGAATAGCTGTCCCCATTACTATCCCTAACTAAAAAAGTGTCATCAGAGATCAAATTCCGAATGTCCTTGATGCTGAATAAATGATCAACATTACTGGAACTAGAATTGACACGATCATTCCAACTATAAATGTTTTTATCCGGATCATTTATATTTGGCTCTTCACTTTCACTGGTATTTTCAATAGGCCCAAGACTGTCCATTGATTTACTTAGCCCACACCTGTGTTCTAACCCCTTCTTAAACAACATCGAATTGAACCGACATCTTTCCATAGAGTTTTGTTGCCCCCTATTTGCATGAAAATACAATAGATGAATAGTCATTCAATGAAAAATCATTTAATTGATTTGATTATTTCCTATCAGAATAAACATATAAATCCAATCACTAGGATTATTAACTAATACGGAGTGTGAGTATTGAAAAAAAAATGATTTTATTTTGTGGGAATCGGGAGTAGCACTTCACTATAGATGAATAGGATGGAACCCCCTTTCAATTATAAAGAACGCTTTCTCTTATGTCCTCGCATCGCAAAAAAAAGATTTGTTCGCTCCTATGAAATGAAGCATTTTTTTTCGTAAAATCTCGTCTAATAACTAACTAATAATAAGTAATAAGTTTCTATTCAAACACGGAACAAAACGGACAATATACAGGATGGGTAGAAAAAGTTGTGATACTTGGCTCGATCCGGGGAAACTACAGGATATAAAAGAATATACCAATCCTGAGGATCCATAGGATTAATTGTGGATCCAACACAACAAGAGAAATATTTAAGTTGTTTAGTCTTAGATTTTTTAGTTCAAACCTTCTACATCTAGATAACTATGTGTCTATCCAAAATATATGCATAGGATCTTTGTATTCGGCTCAATCCTTTTAGTAAAAGATTGGGCCGAGTTTAATTGCAATTCAATTAAGAGAACGAACGGTAAT